GCAGATGCCAGCCCCGCACCCACTGGACAAGGAGGTGGAAGCTGCGGCCCCCTCTTTTGCCGCCGACGCCTCCTGCTGCTCACCACCCCCACTGTAAGGGCGCCACCAGCAGGTGCTGGGCGCAGGAAGGCAGCAGGAGGATTCAGGGCTGGTGGGGGAAAGACGATACAGGCAGCTTGGTGGGGAGACAGCAGGGGGGGAAAGGGGGAGGGAGGGAAAAACCTGCTGTGCCCACCCGAGAGCTGCTTCATCCCGGCTTCATCCTTTGAAAAGCAAACTTATAAAGTAAGGTAACTTTATTTTTTAAAAAGCAGAGAAATGTGAAAAGACTGTCTGTGGGCAGGCATGGGCTTAACCTCCACTTTTGGGAAGGAAATACATTACTAGTATTTAGCAATTAAAAAGCCAAAGTAGCCAACATGCCAATCAAGCTAAATAGAAATACATTTTAAAAGGTAGACCATGAAAAGTATTTTGGTTAGCTGAAAACAAGTCACAATTTCCCCACTCATTGCTATCATAGGAAGTTCCATAAGAATAATATCTGCATTTATATTTAGGGTTGCTGGGCAACCAGGCCTGGCAACCAATGGGAAATGGGAGTGGGTGAGGAAATGTGGTGGGATCTGCTATTAATAAAACCATAGAGCTTCTGGTGAGTCTTAGAGAGGACTGACATCACATCTGAGTTTTCCTGAGAAGTGACATCAGGCCATTGGGACAGTGGTCATTTTTTAATTTTTCTTCTGCTGCTGACAGTGGTGGCAAGAAATTGGAAATGGAGGCAGGGATGACACACACACCCCCACACACACACACAAGGATCCTGGCAGCCCTAATTTATATAGTACTTTTTTGAGCGGTTAAGGTATTTCATATGTATTGGTCAGGATACAAGCCTGTATGGAGAAAGCTCTTGCTCACACAAATGGGAGGGGATCAAATTCCACCAGTTCTCCATTTCCATTTCAGGCCTTCCATGCTATATTTCACACTTGCTGAAGGTTCTTCCCTACTTTCAGAAAGTACGCAAGGCCACGTTATGTAAGAGGAGGTGGTGAAGTTCCAAGGGCAGAGCTCTACACATGTTTCTTTCCAACCTGGGGGGGGGGGGCTCCCAGAATTGCAATGAATCTCCAGACAACAGAGACCAGTTCCCCTGGAAAAAATGGCTGCTTTGAAGGGCAGACTATATAATATTATAGCCTGCTGAAGTCCCTCTCCACACCTCATCTTCCCAAGGCCCTACCCCCAAATCTCCAAGAATACCATCCCAGAGTTAGCAACCCTATTTGGATTGAACCTATTGTTTCAAGAATATCAGGGCTCATTCTGTTCCCATTCCCCATTGATGCCATTGTTCGGTCTTACCACCATCATACCACCAATGATGTTACAACCATCTGCCCCACACAGTAGTGGCAGATGTCGCCCAACAGAGCAAGGGAAACACTCTTCCTGGCGCTTCTGCAGTGAATAATCTGACCGCCAGTTTGGGATGCCGTCCATCTTGGATTGTAGGAAATTCTATGTAATTTATGTGAGCACCAAATTGTATGTTAATCTGTTTTTATTATGCTGCTGTATGCATATTTTAATTCCGGCATGGCCGCTTGTTAGCCGCCCCGAGCTGACTTTGGATGGGGCGGGATATAAATCCCAAAAATAAATAAATAAAATAAAATTAAAGGACACAGCCCTTCTGTAGTAATTTCCCCTCAGGATAGTATATTACCCGTCTTTCACAAAGGCAAAATGTTATTCCTTCATCTCTGGACTGATACTCTTTAAATGACAGCTGATCTATAATGTAACAAGCCACCCAGATTGGTTCTTATCATAAAATTATAAGAACCAAGATGATTGGTTCCATTCATTCAGTTGCAGAAAGAATAGCTACCAGGAAGAGGTGTTCACAATCAGGATGGGTGGGAGTGTATAAAATGCGGGTCCTCAGCTGAGGCACCCAGTAGCTAAGCCCCTCTGCTTAGCATGAGTAGAGACATGGGGTGGCTCAGAGCCCTGAGTCCACCTAACACCCAAACCCCACCAGGAGAGAGGTGTTCACGATCAGGAGTAAATGAATGTGCTCTGCTTTTAAAAAGTTCCCTACTTGTCTGTCTAACTGGCTAGACCCAACAGAAGAGAAGGTGCAGAGCTGAGCTAAAGGTATACATAGCATTCTGATCTCATAGAGCAGAATGGGAACTCTTGTGATTGGCAGCTTTGGAGGGCCCCTATTTGCGTTTCCAAGGCTAGAGAAGTCTGCCCACCCCCCAGTTACTTTGAAGTTTGGTAAACATTTTGATTGAGTGGAGACATTCTGTCTGAAAGATATCCATTCACAAACCACTTGAAAGGTCGTGGAAATTTGTGCCGGTTGACCTGCCATGAACTTCAGTTTGCAAACTGAAAACCGCCCAAATTCGTCACAAACTTTAGTTCGTAAGCTGCTTTGTGCCCATCTCTAGTTGTGTGAATCCACCTAAAGGACCTACCAGAAGAAGCCTTACCATTGTATCTTCTGTTGGGATGCTTTGCTCTCCAGCACAAGCTTCTGATTGGCCAGTTCTAGGTCCCGTGCTGTCATATCCAGCTGCTCGTAAACCTTAGTGTGCTGCTCATTCATATGTCGTAGCATTTCCAGCTGTTTTGTCAAATACTTGGAAAAGAAAAAAATAAGACATCCACAAAAAGATTAGATCCCTTGATCCCTTCCAATCTGACTTTTGCCTTGGCTATGGGATGGAGACAGCTTTGGTTGCCATCATAGATGACCTCCGCAGACACCTGGATTGAGGTGGGACAGCGCTGCTGTTCTTGTTTGACCTGACAGCAGCATTTGACACAGATGATTATGACCTAATGACACACCACCTCACCAATGTAGGGATTCATGGGACAGCCTTAAAATGGTTTGTCTTATCTCTCCACGGTTGGGGACAGAGGGTGGCACTTGGGGAGAAGGTTTCAATGCACCCCCTTTGGTGTGCAGTTTCCCCTAGGAGGCAATCCTCTCCTCAATGTTATTTAACATCTACATGCGCACTCTTGCCCAGCTAATATGGAGCTTTGGGCTGGGATGTCACCAGTACACTGATGACACTCAGCTGTATCTGCTGATGGACGGACTGTCGAATACCACCCTAGACAATCTGGCCAGGGTTCTGGAGCAATGTTCCCTCTAAGCTATGGAGTCTTGTGAGCAAAAATTCTACTTTGTGAGCTACTGGCATTAAAGTTGTGAGCAGGGGATTTGGCTACTGCATAAATTGGTTTGCTCTGGAGCCATCCTTCCTGAGCGAAGCCAAAAATGTGTGAGCCAGAGGCTCAAAAACCGTGAGCTAGCTCACAGGAACTCAGCTTAGAGGGAACATTGTTCTGGAGGCTGTGGCTGGTTGGTTGAAGGAGAGCCAGCTGAAACTAATTCCATCAAAGATGGAGGTCCTGTGGCTGAACCGGGGACATCCCAGGCTGAACAGGGGACCCACAATGCCTTTGAGGGTGAGCCATTGACACCAAGGCCGCTCATGAAGAGCTTAGGAGTGATTCTGGATGCCCTCCTCTCAATGGAGACCCAGATCTCAAATGTTGCCAGACTGGCATTTTTCTACCTACACCAAGTTGGGCAACTGGTCCCCTTCCTGTCTTGCCCCAACTTCGCCACAGTGATCCATGCATTTGTCTTGACTCGACCTGGTGGAATGCTCTACCAGATGAGATCCGAGCCCTGCGGAATCTGATTCAGTTCTGCAGGGCCTGTAAAACAGAAATGTTCTGCCAGGCATATGGCTGAGGTGGCGAAGCGAAGTTTCTATCTAATTTTGCCTCCCCCCCTGCTCCCCGCTGGTGTTCATTGCATTGTGTACCAGCTTTATAAACCACACAGCTTGTACAAACTCATCTGAATAAACTCTGTGTTCATAGGGTTGCCAGCCCCCAGGTCCAGGTGGGGGTTCCCCCACTTCTGGGGGCTCCAATCTGCCACTGGATTTAATTTAATTGATGTTTTTAAATGTATTGCCCAGTTAATCGGGACTATGTTTTTAGTTGATCACAAAGATTTTAACTGAGTAAAGTAATCTATTAACTGACCAACCACCACAATCTATTGTTTGACCAACCATCACAGCTCTGAAAAATAATTTTTAGTTTTATGATATTATTTTTAACATCATAAAAATTGCAAATGGCAGCCACTACCTTAGACGAGGCATTGCCCTTCTCCCTCACACAGAGAATGCTTCTGTTTTACAACAATGCTCCTTCTACAGTGGATACATTTAATCCATACGAATCTCACTCCATTTTAAAGCCATCCATGCTTGTGGCCATCATTACATCCACTGACAGTCCATTCTAGAATGTACTTACTTGTTGAGTAAAAAAGTATTTCCTTTTGTTTACCCCAACTCTCTTGTCCATCACCTTCACTGGGTGCCCAAGTTCTGATATTACAAGACAGATAGGTCTTCCTATCCACTTTCTCTACTGAATCCATAATTTTAATAAACTTCTATCATGTGTCCCCTCTTTCAATTTTTTTTTCTAAACTGCAAAGTGCTGGAGTCTTCAGCCTTTCCTCATAAGAAACGTGCATTGACATCTTAATCACCTTGCTTGCCCTCTTCTGCAGTTTTTCCAGCTCTGCAATGTCCTTTTTGAGATACAGTGACCAGAACTGTACACAGTACTCCAAATGAGGCCACACCCCAGATCTATCTGGGGGCACTCCAATATTGGCTGTTTCATTTTCAGTTCCTTTCCTAATAACTCCCTATCTATTAATCATCTTAAAATATACTGATTATGTATGCTGTGGAGAAAAGCAGGGCTAACCTCAGATAAGGCAGCTATTTCTGCAGCTGTTACTTCTGTATTAAAAGTGCAGAAGCAGGAGGAAAATCCCCTTTTTATCAATATTCCTTAAGCCCCATCTTATTCATTGTCTCTAATATTTCCAGTACAGAATGGTCACTATTTTCCTTCAGAAAAAAAAATCTACTTCTGCCTTTTTCTATATAAGAGCTTTAGAATTACCGGAGGGTTTTCAAAAAACCCTTTTTCTTCCCCCTTTTGACTTACATATACATACACACCATCAGCCATATTTAATATTTTAAAGATTGTAATTTTTAAGCATATGGGAAATGTAGGTGAAAACAGATGTATGGTGTCATGAAGGGACAGAACAGTTTAACCCAATTTCGAAGCCTTATCCCGAAACTAATCTGGGGACTCAAAAAGGTTCAAAGTGACCCTTTCAAAAGCTGTAGCTTGGAATGAAAACATATGGGTTGGGGGGGGGGGGTAGCAGCCACGGTCTCACTGGTATGCTATGTTCTTGCAGGCTTTAATCCTTCACTGTCTCAGCCCCCTCCATGTGTTTACTACCCCTCCCCCCAGTAACACATCTCCATGGCAGAAGCTCATGATAACTATATCAAATTGGCTAAAATACCATCTAAACACACAGATAAGTGTTCAGTGTCATGTTTAACAAGGGACAGCAACAAAAACGGTTATGTTTTTCACCAGCAACAAAAATGGGTACATGCTTCACCAGCATCTGTCATTAGTACCTCTATCTCTTGTACTTGCTCCTCGTTGGTTGTGTACATCTGTTGCAGAGAATCCTCTAGCTCTTTGTTCCGCTCCAGGAGGGTCTTGCCTAGCTCAGCAGCTAAGTGTAAGTCTGAAAAGTCAAAGAAAGAAAACACACTGAGGGCCTTTCCTCCACACTCTTTGGACCAGAATGTGTGAAATCACTACAGCTGATTAATTAATTCATTCAAAACATTTTGCTAAGGCCTTTCCGAGGCTCAAGGCAGCTACCCACACTCCAAAATATCACACACAATTCAACAATAAAATCAGCAAACATAAGAAAGCCTTAGTCAAACAAAAGTCACCATTACACAGCAGAATCATCACTAGTGATATATCTTCTCAAATAAATACGTCTTACAGAACCCCTGGAAGACCACATGGGAGGATTTCATTGCTATCCCATCAAGGAAGGCATTAGGTCAGTTTCAGGAAAGGCCTTACTCCTGGGTTCTGGTAGGCTAAATTCCTGAAACGGTTGTAACAGCTATGGGTGTGTTACCACCATGTGTGGCTGAGGAGAGATGCATGTATTAGATACAAGTTTGGGTGAATGAGGCCTGTCCAATCCAAATTCACTCTGGAGAATCCCAAGGCAAGAAGAATCCTTTTTTCCACTATCCTTGATGTTCATCTTAAGAGGGAAGTTCAGGCTGCACCAGGCGTAAAGTATTATTATTATTATTATTATTATTATTATTATTATTATTATTATTATTATTATTATTATTAAATTTGGAATGATGCACATACAACTCCTTAAGAGATTTCTTGACTAAGGGATGATATTCCTATGCAGTCGCACACTGTTTCAACATTTTCAGTGAGTTATCCACTATGACTCCAAGATCTCTCTTGGTCAGTCTCTTGACAGTTCAGACCCCATCAACATGTATTTATAGTTAGGATTTTTGGCCCCAATGTGCATGACTTTGCACTTGGCCACACTGAACCTCATTTGTCATGTTGACACCCACTCAACGCCCAATTGCAGTTTCTAATTTGTCTTCAAGTGCTATCCCATGTAGAGTGTCTTACAACTGACAAGTCTCAAGGTTACTGGAGGAAAGGGGACAAACTGAATTTGAGCTCAATTCTGTTGGAAAAATGCATTTTTGGTCACCATGGACACATGCTTCTCTCATAATAAAGCTGGGTCCAACAGTATCCTTAAGCTCCTCATGGCACACCTCAAAAAATAAAGCTACCATCTAGTGTAGGAAGCAACTCACCCATCCCTCTGAGCAACTTTATCAATAAGCGTCACCTCTATTTTGACATTCAGTTTCAGTTTACTCTCTCTCTCTGGTACTTGACCATGGCATTGAGGTACTGGACTAGGGTGGAAGCATCTGGAGACTTATTTAACAAGACATATTGCTGGATGCCATCTGCATACTGATTGCAACAAGCTCCACAGTTTTGGATTATCTCATTAAGGGGTGTCACATAACAGAGAGTACAGCACCTTGATTTCTCAAAACCCTCCTTAGTCCATGAGTTGGTCTGAATCAGCTGAGCTGTTATTGCCAGGGGAGAAAGTAAGCTGGTATGGGCTGGTACAGAATACCAGTAAGAAAGTGGCTGAACTGGTACCTCCCTCCTTCCTCAAGTCCCCCTCCCCCGAAACAGTACTGGTAAGCAGAAAAGAGTAGGAGTCCAGTAGCACCTTAAAGACTAACAGAATTTGTTGTAGGGTATGAGCTTTCATGAGTTTTGAGCTTACTGAGCTTTCCAAATGTTAGTCTGTGTATTTATTGGATGTGTATGGAAGTGAATGGAATTGCGCACATTGGTCTATGTCTATGTGTACAAATATATGCTCCCAGGCGCCAACATGTGGGCAAGATCCTACTTTTGCGGTCTTCCTGAATGCATGGAGAAACCTACACCTGTATGTGTGTAGAAGCTTGCTGCAGATGTTTGGCTGGACATCCAGATGCCAGGAGGTGGGGTTGGCAGAGGCAATCCCACTCCTGTTATGTAGTGTTTTGCTTCCATCCAAGTAAGATAAGTTGCATTAATGCAATAAGGGGTTGCACAGGAGCATCCCTAATCTTCTCTCAGAATAAGATTGTATTTGTTTTAAAATTTTATATGCTGCTTTACTGCCACAACAGGAGACTTCAAGGCAGCTTACTATATATTACAATATAATACAATACAGACAGTACTAAATAATGATAAAAGCAGCAACAATTAAAAGGGCATTAAAACCAACACTAGTAAGAACTACAGGCCTAGAAAAAAGTAACAACAAAGCATAAGCAACAAAGACTCAGGTTAATAGGACAGACTTCATTGGAGCCTGATGGATAACCAAGATGGTACCAGCAAACATTTCTCAGGAGAGAACTCTATAGGGATGGTACAGCCACATAAAAGACCCTGTTTCTGGAAAATACCCATCTGATTTTATTTATTTATTTATTATTTAATTTGTATCCCGCCCTCCCTACCTGGGCAGGCTCAGGGCGGCTTACAGGTTATATATGACCGGGGCCTGAGTAGGATTATATGGGAGGAGGCAGTTCTTTGACTTAGTCCAAGGCTGTTGAGAACTTTAATGTTCAGCACACATACTTTAAATAACTCTTGCAAGCAGTCTGAAAGCCAGTTTGGTGAAATATGCTCACTGCTGAAAGCCCCTGTTTACAATCTGACTTCTGTATTCTGCATCCACAGAGATTTCTGAAGACTTTCCAAAGGCAGCCCTACTATTTTAATCACAGCTACAATTCACAGATATTGAATGAATCCAGCCAATTTTCTAGATGCCACAAATAACTATATTCAGCCCTTTAAATGAGCAGGCATAGCTTATAGTTACTGCCTAAACCCTCGGCATTTCATCCATCTCTTGTTCCCCTCACAGTAAAGATATGAAGCTTCCTATCCAATCTTTTAAGCTGCCTTTGTCTGATCACCTGTTTATCTGCAAACCTGTGAGAAGGCTTTAGATTGTTAATGGCTACTGCCTGAGGGACAAGTTGCCTTAGGCTCCTATGTGTTGCAAGAAATTCAAGTGCACCTGTCTGGTTTCAGTAGCAGACCTCCCAAGGACAGCACAGCTGTGTGGTAAATTGCTCTAATGCATCCCAGTGTAGTGGAAAACTGAAGGGAGTCGTGCTGTTATGGAGGTGCTAATGGAATCTCTGTCCGTCACATTGGTTTCCCTGGACTGTAGTCAGCAATGCTTCTGAGCAGCTATTGTCTGCTATAGCAAAAGGAGGGGACCAGTAATCCACATCCTGTTTCTTTCCTTCCTTCCATTCCCTGCACTTGTAGGGCTTGGGCTTCAAAAAAGAATTAAGAAATTCACTTTCCCAAGAGCGCCGCACCTGCATGCCAGCAGAGCAACAGGACAAACCCCACTGCTGGTGTAGATGTGGGCATTCCAGGGGGTGTGGCAGCAGTTAGGCAGCTTCCAAAGTGTTTTCAGCATGGGAACAACCCCCAGCAGGTGTAAAGGTGCACCAGCAAAAAATGGTGTTGTAGCCCATTGACAGCCATGGTAACTTCAAATTCACTCCCCTACACACAGCTGTGGCCACGCCCATGAAACCCCAAGCGGCTCAGGATACCAACTAAGTTTGCATCCAATCAGCACACTCCCTCACTCCAGCAGCGCCCCTCATTGGGACCCAATCATGGCCCCCTGTCCTACAAATAGTTCCAGGAGGTCACCCCAGAATTGCCACAATGGGTTGCCATAAACTGCCCCAGAATTGCCACAATGGGAATTGCCATAAACTGCCACAATGGGTTTGGTTCATGCCCATCCATAGTGTTGTACCTGCCACTGGGGTGCATGTGCTTTCGCTGTAAGTCTGTATGGCAGGCAGCCATCAGACAGCATTCCGTGTAATTGCCACAATGGGTTGCCATAAACTGCCCCAGAATTCTGATGGCTGCCTGCCATACAGACTTACAGCGAAAGCACATGCACCCCAGTGGCGGGTACAACACTATGGATGGGCATGAACCAAACCCATTGTGGCAGTTTATGGATGTCGTGGGTCAGCCTGAGCTCAGCATGAAGTGCTCAGGGGAGGAGGACTCCTCAGGAGAAGGGGAGCCACGCTGGCTGGCTCTGAGTCAGCAGAAGCCAATAAAACAGGCTGATGAGCTGCAGGCTGACCAAGACTCATCACTCACAGCTGATCCAGAGCCACTGCCCAGCTCTGATGCAGCAGATTAGACGCAAGTGATTAAGACTAGTCCACCAGGCTCACCTCCACCCTTTGAGTGCCAGAGACAGAAGCTTAGAAGGGAGCCGCAAGCAAGGAGGCAGAATGCACGTCTCCTGGCCCATTGCCAGCTGCTTGCTGATGACAGCCTGGAGTAGTTGCCACAGTACTCTCAAGCGGCTGGCTGCTAACAAGGGCTTGTTAGGAAGTGCTTATAAAACCCAGTGATGGGAGTCTGCATGTTGCAGAAGTAACATGTTACCAATCTCTTGACTCAGTGAGCAGAGCTCTGCTCCTGTGACCAGTGTTCCCTCTAAGCTGAGGTAGTGTGAGCTAGCTCAGTTTTTTAGCCTCTGGCCCACACATTTTTGTCTTAGCTCAGGAAGGATGGCTCCAGAGCAAACTAATTTATGCAACAGCTAAATTGCTCGCTCACAACTTTAATGCCAGTAGCTTACAAAGTAGAATTTTTGTCCACAAGACTCCACAGCTTAGAGGGAGCACTGCCTGTGACCCTTGGACTGGCTCTTGACTCTGGAATCTTCCTCCTTGCACTCATGAATGACCTTGGACTGTTGGACCTTGCTTCCTGTATAATGCTCTGAACTGGACTCTGCTGTCTCGGTAACTGACCTTTGGACTGAACTTTGACTCTGACTCTGGAATTTGGCTTGGACTGACCCTAGATTCTGACAGTCGGTGGAGCAGAAAGTAGGGAATCTGAGTCCTTCTAAACCCCTGCTTTCTGTTCCCTCCAAAGTCATAAAAACAGCTGAGTGGTGGGGAATGCCTTACTGCTGTGTAGCGGTTCTTTGGGCTGTCTTCTGCAGTCCCTTTAAAGTTTAAAAGGACTGCACAAGACAGTGCAAAACAGCTGAGCCGTGGGGAGCAAGCTGCT